AGAATCTGTTCACTTGTGTATTGAAGACATATTTAATATTAAAGATGAAGCTATGAAAAATAAAGTTTATAGTTTTCCAACTCTAGCTTTTCAATGTAAAATTGCAAAAATACGATCATCAAAAAATGGACTGAATGCTAATTTGTCTGAGGAAACTAAAACATTTATCAATGATAAACTATTAAAAAATGCAAAAGGAACAGTAAGTTTGGTTGTCATTTACATTTTTACAATAGTAAATCACTCATTTAATAAGTTACGACAATAATAATTAGTGTTAACATTTTAAAACCATATTTTTTTTTGTTAAATGTTTTTTTATGGTTTTTAATTCTGTTAACAGTTGATTTATTATAAAATCAGAAGTCTGATTAAAATTAATTCATAGTTCATTTTAATTCATAAATAAAATACCAATGCATATTGATAAGAATTTAAAGTAATGTTATATATTTTAGAGTAGATATTCCTAAACTGTGAATTGCTATTATATTTTTAGTGAGTTGTATTGAGTTTTAAATTTTTTTTATAATATTTAATATTAGATTACTATAAAATACATATACCATGTGTTCACCAATTTAGGGAACATTAAATTTCTTGGACGGATTAAATTTAAATAAATCGAATTTTTTTTATAAGCTAATACACATTTATAGATTAATTTCAAAACTTTTATCATTTCGGTATGCGCAGGGGCAATATAAATATTTTTTTTTGAATAGCAACTCCTATTTTGAATATCATATTCGGATAGGCCTAATTTTTTAAATTAATTTTGATGAATCAACTATGGCTCTAAATTTAAAATTGACTGAATATAACTATTTCCTTTTTAATAAATAAATAAATACATTTTTACGATTAAAAGTGAATAAAATCATAACACTATTCTTGGTTAATTTTTTGATGTTTTTTTTTTATATACGTATTATAACAAATATGTTATTATACAATACATACAATCACAATTTTGTTTTATAAATCTGCAAGACTGGTGGATCTTTGTAAGCTATTGTTTTTAAATTCCTCATAAAAAAAAAAAAAAGTAAATAACCTAAAGACTTTTAAAAATTAAAATCGATTTTATGCGCTTAAATGAATCATTAAAGTGTATTTATTTATTAAAAAGGAAATGGTTTTTATTCAGTTAATTTTTAATTTAGAACCATAGTTGATGCATCAAAATAACTTTAAACATTTAAGCCTATCTGAGTATGGTGTTAAAAAAAATATAATATTTTTGTTTCTCCTGCACATACTGAAATGATAAAAATTTTGAAATTAATCTATAAACATGTATTTATATACCACTAGCTTAAAAAAAATTTGATTTATTTAAATTTAATCCTGCTAAGAAATTCAATGCTCCCTAAATTGGTGAACACCTGTATATAATATATAAAAAGAAAATATATTTTGTATAAATTCAGATAAATATGATAAAATATTTTTCATATAACTAGTTAGGTAAAACAGATTTAGTTTTATCATTGACCTATGAAAATTACAAATATACTAATGAATTATTACTATTATTTTGTCAGATTAAAAGCATAGTGATTGATAATTTAAAATTTTTTCTATTATTGGATTATTAGATTTTATTACACCGGTGGTCTAAAACTTGAGAAACATTGCTTTTGTTCCAATATATTTTTGTTTTTGTTCCATATTTTAAATTAAAATTTTTTTTTTTATGTTTAAGATATATTCTATAGTTGATGGTGTTGTATCATTTGAAGATCTAACCTCCACAGATGAAGAAGAAAGCACTTCAATTTCAGAATACTTTATCAAGAATAAATTAGCTACTCGTACTGAAGAGTCTTTTGCTTCTAAGGTATTAATAATAAATAATATATATTAATATATTTGCTAAATCAAAAAATTGGTTATCATGGATCATAAAATTGTTGATAATTTGAAGTAAAAAAGAATCCCCATAGTTTTTCCACTATAAATCCAGTATCAAATGCACCTTTTTCATTTAAAAAATAAAATATAAATCAACTTAATAATTTATGATATTATTTTTATATTTTTGAATACATTAGGTTTATAAAATATATATTATAAAAATAAAATACATTTAATGGGAAATTTGGGATTATTTTTTTTCTTACCTAGTCTATAATTGTTTTTTTTCTTGTTCCCTTTCTCTCCGCTCTTCAATTCTGCGACAGCCCAGGTAGCGTCATATTAACAACAGTAATAGCATATACAATATTGTTTTGATCAAATATTTTAAGATGAAAACATGCTTCATTTATTTTGTATACTTGAATGCATTGATTTTAAAATTTACAATCTTTTTACTTTACCACTTATTATATATTTATTAAATATAATTATAACTGTACATTTATTTTTAGATAGATCATGAAAAACGATTAAAGATTATAGGATGTGTTAACAATGAGATGTATAAAAAATCGAATGTTGTCTGTCCTAACCTAAAAAGTCCTACAGAAGAAGAGTCATATACAATTGTAAGTTCTAATAGTTCAATTTTATTCATAGTCATTGTATTTGTAATTATTTACAATTTTTTTCCAATACCTACATTTTAAATTATATTTTCAATGTCGATTTTTTTAAGTTTTTAAATAATTTATTTGAATATTTATTGAATGAGTTTATGCACCTAACTTTCTATATCTTACAAACTGTTAATTTTGGTTTACTATTATAATATATATATATTTATTTTTTAATGTAGCACAATTTAAGAGGACCTATAAGTCCATTAGAAATGTCAGTTAATGGAATAAGTCGTAATAGTACTTCTAAAATAGTAAAAATAGAATGTCAATCCGTCAATTCTGTTTTGTTAGATACTGACCCAAATGATTATCATGAAAGGTAAGCATAATATTTTCTGCTTAATTATAAATACATTGTTTACAATAATTATTGATATTATTTTTTATGAATTAATATTTTTCATTAGATTATTTGTTGCTGGAAATGTATGTATAAATGAGAATGATAAGTTAACTCTTTGGGATACAACTATGATGCCAAATATCCCAGGGATGCCGGCAATTATCTGTCTAATGTTCTCGCCGTGTGTAGAAATCAGGTACATTTCTTAAAAATTAAAATAATTGTTAACAAACATCTATACTATATTAATTTTATTTTTAATTCTTAGATACAATTCTTCTTATACTAAAATGATTGGAGCCATTTGTGGTTTAGGTTACCATCCAGAAACTGGTAGGCCATTATTTGAAGACAATGATATTGAGATTACCTTTGACACTGTTATTGATTTTAATTTTTTGAACAAAGTAAATAATTAACTATAATATTTATTATTTAATAATTTGTAGCTGTTTGTTTAAAATATTTTTTATTCTCTTTTAGATAAATATTATAAGAATGTTGTTGAACAGATGTATTAATCCAGAAGACGAAGAAGGTCCTGGTGATATTTTTCAAATACAGCATAGCTTACAAATGTCTTTAATAGAGTATGTATTTAAAATTTATAAAGTTATTTTGTTTTGTTACTATTCTCTAAGCACTGTTTGTTTAATGAAGGCTATTCAGTCAACCTACAAAGTTTAAAGGGCCAGAACCATACACAAGAAAATATATATGGTCAGAAATTCGAAAATCAAGATTGCAATCACCATACCAAGAAAATAGCCCCGTTAATCACCCGATGGCTGGTTCTGATGTTTATAAACTGCTTTGGGGCGCTATTTTATCACAAAAAATGTCTGCTGTTGAGTGTAAAGATTTGATGTTTAAACTAAGTAAAATCAAAAGATTAGAAGAATGGTATATCTGAAACTTATATAAAAATAATACTTATTATAATAATATTACAAATTGTATCTATTATTTTCTTCCAGCTTGAGTTTCAACAATCTTACTAGCGAAAGGTGTGTAGAAGAACTTCGTTGCCCATTATGTAATTTGGTGTTTACTAACACTTCATCCGTTCTAATGCATTTTGATAATTACCAACATATTGAACGTTATAAACTCGCCAGAGAAGAATTACATTTGAACTATATGGGACCATTTCAAGATATTAGAAACTTGTAAACTGATTAATTTTAATAATATTTTTATAATGTATAATACAATTTAAACTCAAATGACATTTTGATTAAAAATAATTTAAGAAAAAGAAGACATTTTAATTTCCTAAACTATTTTTGCTAAATTATAAAAAGGTTACTAGCATATTTATTTTATTTAACAATAAAGAAGATCATTAATTTTCAATTTAATTGTTTTTAGTTTTCCCATTAGAAGTTGATTATAAAAAGAAAATACTATAACTTAATCCTTTAGAATAAACCGTATGAATTGTAAGTAAATTTAAGGCTTTATATGTTGTGTTACATACATTATTACATTTACTACATTTTTAGCAACATTATAAATTCTCAATTTATCATAAAGGATCTGGGAGAGGTCAATACGTATATTTTATAAAATGTGATTTTTCCTGTTCTATTATAATTTTTATCCCTGATTCTAGTTAATTTAAATAATTTAGTTTTGGTGATTTGCTGGGAGATTTTTGTTCTTCCATTAGTTTCAGATGTAGTTGCTGCACTATAAGAAGAGTTTGTTTTTAAATAAACACTGAACATTTCTTGAACTTGACTTGAAAAAATTATTGTTTGACCAATTAAAAAATAAAAAGAGTATTTATAATAGAATCAGGAAAATGAAAATTTTTAATTGAATTAATGAACAATATTATATTTATTTTTAAATAAAATCAGTTCTACAACTAGATAAAATAAATTATTAATTTGCTGTTAAATTAAATTATACGCATGATTATATTAAATACGTAACAAGCCAATTACAAGAGTTACAAATAAAATAACATTCATATCTTAGTTATAAACTAACTCAAAGAAAACTAACACTAAATTTTTTAACTAATTTTAATTAGTACAATTATTATACTTCTCAACATTACAGAAACTTTAAATAAATAAAATTTATATATATTATATGTAACATTAAAATATTGGTTCATATTTGCTGCGTTTCTTCTTTTTATTTTTTGATTTATTGTTACCTACAATAAAAAAAAAAAAACTTTTAATAATTATTATACATCTGGATAAATATTGGTTTGTCATTGCAATTTGTAAGTAATACTCATACACTACAGTTATACTAAATTTATCTTCTATGGAACATTGAACTATCTAAAAGTTCTTTAAAACTATCTCAAGTCAATATTTATGGAAGAATATGGTTTACTTAAAATAAATTCTCTAGCCAAAGAATGAACAAAGGCTTATGCAGATACATTTTATTAAGGGTATCTCTTTGTTGGATTTACTTATATAGACATATTATAAGATAGTTAGAACTTAGAATAAAAATAAAAATATTTTTGTTGTATATTTGAACTATAATCAACAATTAAAATAATATTTGTAAATAAATTTTAAGATTTTCGAGTTTGGTTAACTTGATTTCCTACAGCATAAGGTGGTGTAACAGCACAAATAAGCCTATTCTACAATTAATTCATAAAATGACTTAAGAAAAAATAGATATAATTTTATTTTCAATAAGAGTAATATAATTTTTAGTTTGATGGATACCATAAAAGATCAAATATTTAATGTACTTAGAATTTTGAGATATACAGAAAATGTCCATAAAATAAAAATGTAGGATTTGATTATTTGAACACACGACTATGCCCAAGGGTTGTATGGTTAGTGATCAATTTAAGATAATAGGATACATTTAAAATTGTGTATTTAGATAATAAATTTATTTGTGTATATATAATAAATATACATACTATGTAAGTTCATGTTGGCTACAGCATCTTCTAAAATATTATTCATCGACATAGAATTTGGTCTAGAACCCAATATTGGCCATTGAGATGATACATTAGGTAAAACATGATCTGATGAAGAGGAGTTACTTGCAGTAACTTCATTCTGCAATGCCTGAAAATATAAAGCTTAATAACCATAGAATTCTACAACTATATTAAAAAACAAAGTAAAATAATTGTAGGTATATTTTGTTCTAAATGAAAATAAAAATGGTTTAAAGATAAGTTAGTCTTCAAAAATGTTAATAACCCCCACCATACAAAACATAAACCTAAGAGAATCTATAAAAAAATAAAGAATATTAACACTGTACCTTTGCAAATGATAAATTACTTGGTGAACCATTAGAAATATTTACTATAGCATGATCTGAAGTTGAAGTTATACCAATTGATTCACTCAAAGGAATCATGCTATTAAAATATTTATAAATTGTTTAAACATTTTATTTAATTATTATTTATTATGGAAAAATAAATATAAATACCTTTTGTCAGCAAATGGATCATAGCCACATTCTGGGAATAAACTTCTATTATGCCATTCAGGAAGTGGCAATTCCTTTTTAGAATTTCTTTCTTCAATGCGTTTAGCAAGCCGTTGCTCATCACGTGCACGCCTATCTCTAATAGCTTTTTTTTCATCCAAGTTACCTAAATTTAAAAGAATTTTAAGTTATTATATTTCTTTTACAAGAAATTCGATCTAGTGGATAATATAAAAATTAGTCTATTAAATATTTTTAACTATGTCAGAACATAGTTATGTTGGTCATAATTACTTTTAAATATAAATAAGGTTTCTTGACTGACAATATTAGTCAAATCTAATTCAACCCATTCAAAAACAGTAGTTATGGGCAAATGTAACAGGAATCTATAGCGTTTTCTTGATGCTTCAGTCATCGATAAGGACTGTTTTTCAATTACAATAGCATCTATCTGCTGTGGACTATTTTCTAGACTGCCAAACATACATTCTAACATTTCTACATTAACTGCTGATAAATATATATGCTGACCATCCAAAGCTGTTAAAGTTAATGAGTATATTAAACAAATAAGCCAACATACATTTTAAACTTAAATATTTACCTTGATAAAAAAAAAAATCTTTTTTGGCAGGTTTATTCTGTAAAACCTCTTTATCAGCAATGTTAAAATTATGTAAATTTGTCTTCATTTCTCTAAAAGTTGAAATACTTCATTAATATTAATATACCTAATTTTTCATTTAATAAACCACAATTCTATACTTGAAAAAATAAGTAATTGTATACTTTAATAAGGATAAATAAATATGTTCATTATTATTATGTTTAATACTCAGTTATGTATAATTCTAAATATTAACATATAACATTTGACAAATTTAAGAATTTAATATTTTAATATAATGCTTCATTATCTTGGTAGAGATATAGAGGATACAAGGTACCTACAGACATAGTTTTGATTTCTCATTAATAATAAACAATAATTAACATACCATATAATAATATATTAATACATTATCTATAAACTATAACATTATATTATTAAATAATAATACACACTAATATATTGTACGTTACTATTGGAAAATAGTCTGACTATCTATGAAGTATTTTTAAATCATTATTATAATTTAATATCAATTATGAGGATGTTAGATAAATTTTTATGTGATTTTTCAAATTTAAATCAGTTTTGATCAAGGAATGTTAATTTTTAATATGTAATACATTATCTTACTTTATATGCGAATTTGGATTTTCATCTAAAACATTAGTAACATTATGAGAACATCCAGGAATTCCTATAAAGTTCTTTGGTTGTGATTGCTATAAAATATATATTTGTATTAGTAGATAATAACTGATTAATTTAATTAATAGTAAACATTCATTATCTCAAAAAGGTAATATATTTGTATTTATATATTTTATATCAACTTAATATTTCAGGTAGGTATTGTACTTTTTTGAATGACTGAGTACATTTTTAAATTTATATTCTAAAGCAAAATATTATTTTGAGAGTATTGATATTAATTTTTAAAAACGAAATTAATGAATAATTAAATTGTAAATGAGAAAAGTAATTAATAAAAAAATTGTGCATTTGTAATTATGTATAAAAAATAATTACTTAATCTAACCTATTTGAAAATGTACTTTTAAAACCTAAAAATTATAACAATATAAAATAAAAATGTACTTATTTTTTAATGAATAATAGTTTAAAATGATATTAAAAGTAATAAATTTTCAGAAACTTTTAATACTTTTTGTGATAATGTTAACTGTTTCATTTAAACAACATAACCCTGCATAATTTATATTAATTTTATTCAAATTACTGGTGACGCCGATGATGGTGATCCTAGATTTGCATGTATTGCAGAATTCATAGATTCACAGTTTGTTCCTTTTATTTCCAAATTCTTATTAAAGAAAAAGAAAATTAAAATGTACATTGTAATTGTAATTTTATTTTACAAGCAACTTACTGGTTCCTGATTCATTAAAATGTCTTCTCTTTTTGATAACAGTTCAAGAGCTTCAAAAATATATTTTTTTTCTGTATCTTCAGTTTCCCAGTAGTCTAAAAGTAAGACAAGAGCTTCCCTTTCTTGGTTTATAATGTTTAAAATCTAAAATGTTACATTGGTAAATTTGTGTTTACAAATATCGTAAATGTTTGTTTTCTTACTTGGCTTTTATAACCAATTAAAAGTCTGGAATATGCTGTAGAGTAATTAGATTCACAAGCTGATAAAGGAGTATCATCAGATGGTTTAAACATATTTTTACAGAGTTCAGACATTGGGTATGCTTGCAAAGAATTTCTAGCACGCTTCATTAGTTGTAAAGTTATTGATTGACCAACACAGCATTCTTCTTTAATAATTATTTCAACGCTAAAAATGCCAAAATTACCACATTACATAAACATTTAAATAATTTTATGTTTACGATGTATATACACACATTTTTTTCAATTAACTAATTATTTAAATAATATTTTCAGTAATTTTTTTTTTAAATGTTATTGTTACCTTTTTAATTCTTTTTTTAATATTCTAGAATGACATATAGGACAGCCAGCCGTATCAAGTTCTTCATTTATATCTAAATAATGCAAAATGCAAGGCCAACAATATATATGACCACAACGAGTCATTTTTGGTGTTATTGGTATATCCATACATATAGGACACTTAATAAATTGAGTAGAAAACATTTTCTGAAACAGTAAATTTATTATTTATATTAACAAATAGATTATCCACTGCTAATTTTTAATGAAAACATGTTTTTAGCATTTATTTAATTTAAACTGATATCAATTTCAACTTACAATTTGTTCAATACAATCCCAATCAACAATTTCATCCTGATCAAACATCCACTGAGAATAATCTTTTCCAAACTTGACTACAAATTGACAACTGTTTTAACATAATTATTTATTAACATCACATTGTAATATTCATTCAATGTGCTAATAATATTAAAAAAAAAAAAAAAATACTTTGCTATCAAAAAATGTTTGACATTGAATTTTTGTGGAAATTCTTTTTTTCTAGATCCGTAGCCATTACGCATATTCCATTTGTTATTTTGATCCATATGCCTTAATACAGGCAATATATCATCATCATCAACATCATTTAACGATTCAGTTACCTAAAAATTATAATCAATTAGTAAAATAGATTTAGAATAAAAATGTAATACTTTGATATAACACAATATAGCATACAGAACAAAAAAAATAGTTTTTACAGAAAAGTACTTAAACACAAGTCAAATATATTATTATTTACAAACCTCGGAACTCTTCTTTCTACAAAAGAGACTAGCTCGAGGTTGCGGCTGTTTATTGTTGTTTGAGTTCTTTTTAAAGCTGATATTTCGGTTAGCTTCAAATTTTTGAGGTTGAATATTAACAGCTTTTCCATTTCGACGATTTGAGTGCTTTGAATTTAATGAATCTATAGCAAAATAAATAAAAATGAAAATAATTATATTGTTTAGATTAAAACAAATAATATTAAATTACTTTAAGTTTTAGTAAATACACAATATTAAATATTCATATGAATGTAATATATATTAGTTAAAGACAGTCAAAAAAAAAAAACTAAGTTTACTTCAACATTTAATAAGATGGTATTTGTGCAAAAATTGTAAATTTCAAGGTTTTTTTTAAAAAAAAAAATGTATTTATTGTTACAAAATTTTAAAGGTCAAGTAATCCATTTGATTGAATATAGAATCAATTCAAGTATCTGTACTTTTCTTTTAATTTTATAAGTTTTATGGCTTTGTATTAAAATAATCTACCTATTATCAAAAAAAAAAAAACGAAAAAATTTAATAGGTTCAATAAAATTTAACTTTGATTTGAAATATTGTAATCATTTTTTTGAAAATATTTAATCAAATACATGGTTACCATTAATCACTACTTTCTAAATAATAATAATAAATCAGTGTCCTGCGCCCAACGTCAATTTAAATAAAATCCCTGTAAGTGGGCATTGATTAGCCTTGTATACCTATCCAGATTTTTTTTACCCCCATATTCTTGTAAAAAGTGTACGAGGAAAATTGTCCATAAATTGTTTTAAGTTAATTACTTTGTTGTTTATAAGTAAACAACATATTAATTTAGTACTTATGCACTTAAAATAATATAAATAAGGGGATATGCTGTACAAAAAAAGGATAAAAAATATTTTTATCTTGAAAATAAATAAATGAATAATACAATAAATAAAATTAAAAAAAAAAAATGAAGTTAAAAGAGATAGGGTCAGTCAGACAAATTATAATAATGATTAATACGACTCGTACGAGTTAGTGAGTGTACGCTCAAATCATCTATGACAAATACTTAATCTTCCTACAAAACTGAAACTAGAATATTACACTATTCATATCAAAATTCCAAAAAAATGATATATTATTATAATATAGTTCATGTTTATAAATATAGGAAATTTTAATGATATGAACAAAAACGTGCATTTTTTTTTCATAGCACATTTGCACAAACTATATAAGAATTACAGTTCAGCCACGCTTATCCTACACCAGACAGATCGTCCATTTTACAAAAGCAAAAGCTGGTTTCCATTTTCTAAAACTTTTTTTCAGACTTGAGTTATATCCAATTTTCTCCAAATATTAAAATATAGTAGCCAATAGTTTAGCCGGCATTAGTATGGCAGTCTTAGTGTTGTTGTTGTGTACCGTATTATAATGGGACAATAAAGCTGGGATCACACTAAATGTATTTTTATCGTTTGTCGACTTTATTTTGGCCCAGAATTTTCTATAAAATGAAGGCATGTCTAGGAAATTACAAAAAGTAAAATAACTATTTATCTGTTTAATATATATTTTTTCTTTAAACTAGTACCATTTAATGGTAGTTGAAATGTGTTATAGCCTATAATTACCTATAACAAAATAAAATTGTTAAAATTGCATTGGTCATTTATTTTAATATAATATTTTTACTTAAATATATAATTATATATGCTTATAATTACATACCTACACTTTATTGGAAGGAAATTGTTACGACGCGCCTGATACCTTCAAAGGATTATCCTCTATCATACCTCACCCAACTATTTTCGACCATTCTCTACTTTAGTTTTCCTTTTTATTTTTACATTGATTTCTAATGCAACTTCAGAGTTACACCTGCTCATAACGTGACAACCTATTCTCTTCAATTTAGTTTACCGACAAAAACATGCCCTCATAAGATAAATACAAATCGTATATAGATCAGATTAAAGATTAATACGCAGTGAGAACACTGAGAACTGAAAATACTTTATTCGAATTTTGCCACAAACGTCAAACGCATTGATACTTTGGTTATGCGATTGGAGCACTATGGAGTTAGGTTATTTACAGCTGTAACGTAAGTGGCAGTAGTGGCAGTACCACCACTGCGGAGGTATTCACCGGATACGATAACTTGTTGTTTAGATAAACAATGAAAAATCTTAAAATACAACTGAAAACCAGCAAATATGCCTCAACTGACAAATAAAAAAAAAAAACCTGCATTTTTTACAAAGAATAAGACATAAATATAAAAATGTAAAAATTTGGTTTTGATATAACGTGAAACAAATTAGAATCCATATTGAAATTTTTTTACAGTTGCACAAAACAAATATGCAAATGGTAAAATGATAATTCTTCTATCTGACTGACGATGAATACTCAATGCTCATAAGCTAAATTATTTGTTTTGTCTTGCTAAAATACTATAAACTGCAAAGCAATACTCAAACCAAAAATAAAAAATAGATTTTATACATTATAAATAATTTATAAGTTTATTTTTTTCATGAATTAAATAAATTATTGTTAATTTTTTTTTCCATGAAATTGTGGCGTTGTCTAATGATAAGAAATATAACCCAATACTCGAATGGCTGTACAATTAATGGTCAATTGGCTGTCGCGTAAAACTAGAAAACAAAAGATATGTCTAGTTAGAAATCGTTTAAACTTACCTATCTACCTAACGTACGCGTTCATTATTCAGTCTGAATTTATGAACTGTTTAAATTAAAAGTAAATCGATCGACATGGTGAATAAGTGCAGTGTGACTTGTTGCAAAAGTTTGTACACGAAGGACAATTCCAAAGTTAGATTACACAGGTAATCTATTAAAAACCAACTCTGAACTACCTCCGTTGTGGAGGACGGAAGTTGATAGAATGCATTGTAAATAAATTTGGAATATTATATTGATTCCTTTTCATTTTTATCTTTTTAATTTAGGTTTCCTTTAACGGATCCAGAAACATTACCCTTGTGGATAGCTGCCACTGGCAGAGAAAAAGATTGGAAACCTTGTAAGAGTAGTAGATTGTGTGGCAATCATTTTGAAAAATCTGAATACATAATTGGCCATGGCAAAGGTGTTTTAAAGACAAAATCAGTCCCAACAATTGAATATCGTTTAGATACTATGGTATGTAATTTGAAAACATTGCTCTTTAACACATTAACTGCCATATGATTGCCAGCGATTATTCAATAAAAATTTGTATATACATAATATTTAAAAAAAAATTGAAAAATAAATAATATATTATAGGTATCTATATCAAAAAAAATTATAATAATTCCTGCTACGCCACAGTTCTTATTTTGGTGCATTATTGTAGTGCTATGTATAAGTTAATAATATAAAACTAAATTCATTTATGGTCGCTAACGGTCACAAATGTATAAAATTTGAGAATTACAGATGATCGCCGGCGGTCATATGGTGGTTAATGTATTAAAATAAAAACAAATTTTATCAGCATATAATTTAATATATATTACTTTAGAAATACCACAAAAAGAAGTCGTTAAATTCAAATAATGATGTGGAGCAAATGATCAATCATTTAGAAGTCGATTCAGAGGTAATTTAAAATTAATTAATTGATACTTCTAATTTTTTGTTTACTTATGAACATTTATAAAATATATAGGATATTAGTGATACAAATGTTGAAATTGTTCAACTCGATTACAACGATTTAGAAAATGAAAATCTAAAAAGGGATAAGTATTTTAATAATGGATATCTATATGATAAAATCGAGAATGTAAACATAGAAGATGAAAATTGTACACAAATTTATAGACATATTAACTTTCCAAACTCGGAGAATGATTACGACAACAGAGATGATAGTGAGGAAGCTTCAAAAAATGAAAATGAAGATTCCAAAATTGAAATAAAAAATGATATTTGTAACAGAGAAAACCAATGGTATGCTTTTTTTTATAATATATTATATTGACCCTAATAAATATAACTGAAAAAAAATGTATTGCATAGTTACATGTTTACAAGCAGTTTCAAGGAAGGTGCCGAACCTATAGATTTAACACCTCCAGAAGATAAACCATCTGAAAGACCATTAAATACGGTAGGATTTTAATATCTTAAGAATTTATAAATGAAATAGATGTATTTGATATTAATATAATTTCAGAATATTGAACAATCAATAGCAGATTCAAATTTTAATAAAATTATGGCCTTAAAATTAAAAAAACAACGACGCACTAAAGATATTTATTCATTATACTTCAAGGCTTTGAAGAAAAAGAAATTTCAAAAACAAGAAAAGTTTCTTAAAAGTTCTAATAATGAGACGGCGTCATTTGCTGCTTTTATAGAAGCTCAAATGAAAGATTTACGTAAAAATAAAAGAGTTTACTTAACTACAAAACACAAAATTCAAAAAATACTAATGAAAGCACAGCTTGAAATAGCAAATTGAACTGATTTTGATTAAAATTAAAAAATGGTAATTTTATAAGTAATTTTTGTTTAATCCTGTAATAAATTTATATATATTATACTATTTAGATTATAAAGTAAATTATTAATATAGAATAATATTTGTATCTAATATGTAAGCTTAATAATGTATATTGTATTAGTCTGTAGTTGTATGTGTAAGTGTTTTATTTAATTTATACATTAATAAATTATTATTAAATAAAACATTTTTACCTTAAATTATAAAAAATTTACTTCATAACTAAACATAATCAAATAAACTTTTAAATTTAATTTTAAGATAATATTATACTTGTTTATTGTGTTGAACACTAGAATAAATTATCTTATTTTCCAATTAAAAACTAGTAATTTACATTGGTACTCTAGATTTAAAAAAGGCCCACATACATGTAGATAATATAATTACCTACGAGTTTCAAGACTAGAATAATTAGTTTTAATATTAATTATTAATGGTAACAACATAAACTTGATTTTGTTTAATACAAATTTACTATGTTAGGTATATTATGTAAGATGGAGACAACGTGATATACGTCATGCAGATGTCTTTTTAATGAGTACGATCATCTTTAACTAAAGTCAAGACTTTATCACTGAATAGTTATTTTAAGTTTAACTTTAAAATTGTTCACGATATGGGCTAAAAGACACTAGCATACTACAAAATAAAATAATATAGAAAATAAAACAAATCTTATGAACTTATAATTATTTTACTTAACCAATATTTTTTAAAGAATGCATAAGCTTAATTTTTTTTATAAATTAACTAAACATATTTATGCTCTCGACTGTTAAAAATAAAAACTGTGCTGAGATTTTATTATTGTAAAATTTTATAGATTTCAAAACTAACAAAAAATATGTTGATTGAATAAAAACAATTCATTTAATATTATTAAACAATTTTTTTTTTAATTTTAAATATCTGTATAAATGAAGAGCTGACACTTTTTTCAAAATTAAAAAAGTTCAAATTTTAAGTAAAAATATAAATTGCCATTCAACTGATAGACTATATTCTATATTAGCTGATAGTCACCAAATTACTTAGGCTTGCCAATTCATAAGGTGAATAGCAATTTAGCAATTAAGAAAATACATAAAAATAAATTAAAAAATTGGCTGGATCATCATCAATCATGAAAATGAATTTAATTTAGGTTGAATCAAGGATTGATAAAATTTCTAACTAACAATAATAAAGGAGTAAAAAGCAAATTTAAAAATTATTCACATAAACATTATGATGAAAACTGTTTTATAGTATAATTTGTCTAAAATTATTATATTGGATTTTAAATTTTAGTATTAAGAATTTATCGATTATATATTGTTTTAAATTAAATGCAATTATAATAATAATTTTTTAATATTAAAATTACAAAAGAATTAAAAAAAAATCTTGTTGACATAGAACAGCGTTTCTTTTTTATCTGTGGAACCATTTTTGATGTTTACTTTTAACATGGGACCCCTAATTTATTTTAGCTTTTTAGCTTTTTTTAGGATTATTTGCAACAAAAATTATAATTATTTCATATAATAACAATGTGTTAAAGATATTTAATTAAAAAATATTTTAAAATAAAAATAATAATAATACTACTTAAATTATTTTAATTAGACTAAATTTTAATTTTAATAAGATAAGTACCTAGGTGAAATCGTTTTTCATTCATACAAATATTTTTAATATTGAACTTTATTGATAAAAGTTATACCAACATTTTTTTTCTCCACTAGCCACTACTAATCTTTAGTTAGATATTCAAAGTAATTTTCTTGAAAATTTTGAAAAAATTACTTAAGCTCAGTGGAAACCCAGGATTCCGCAGAACATAGTTAAGAAACGTTGACATAAATGATTGAGAACCTCTGATTTATATTGATGATTATAGATTAGTTATAATAAAGTGAGAAACCATAATTTTATTTTCACCCTAATACTATATTTGGTGTTTAACAAGTATGTACACATATAGAGGCAAAAATAGTAATAATTAAAGCTATAAAATATTAAATAGGTATGTTTTAATTATAAAGTTGCCTTTGAATAGGTAATATTACACAACTTTTATGATATTATCATTGTTCTTATCAGAAAATTATTTTTAGAAGTATGATTGGGTAAATTATTGTAATTTTTACAACAATTAATAAAAAATATAGTATTCAAATATTTTGAAAACGCTATTTCCCATTACTACTTATTAGTAAGTGTTTATTGCAATAATCATGTTTAATGAATCAAGTGACTTTATAGGAATGTTTTAAACTTAATAAAAATGTTGACAAGACGAAGGTGGACACCAGTTTAGAGAGCATATAATGACACATTATTATTTTGTTGTTGAATTCTATTGACTATTGTTAGTTCGAGAGCATGAAGCTCATTGAACATCAGTTTAAATTTTATCACTACCAGCCTGATCAACCTTGATCTCTACAAAAATAATACATAAGAGCTTCTAACCAACCTGTCGACTTCTTGGCGTCCGTCTTACTGTTGGCCTGCAGTAGAGACTTCGGCAAGGGTACGTTCAGTTTTCTTTCCATCTGACGGTTGTCTGACATTGGTAGTGATTGCACAGGGGTTGGAGGTGTGATCTCCAGGAGGAGAATAAGATGAACGCGAACCGGATTCCGACATTGTATTCATTGAAATGCCATTGTCACACGAACGAATTTCGTAAACAATCGTAACGTCGTCGTTGCCCACGAGATCGGTTCGACGGACGAGGTCCACGGGGAATCAGAGGTCGGCGATCTGAGAGCTGATCTCTCTCTGTTCGCGCACTGAATCGGTGACAATAAGAAAATATTGGGAGTGCTAGTGATCACTCGACGAGTTCGTAATTGACAAGTCCGGACGCGTAAAGTAGTGTTTTACACGGGTGTCACGCTCAAAGCAACACGAAAACGCTGCTTTTCCGTATTGTGCAAACGCTATGACAAAACGACGTCTGCCAGTCACTATAACTGGTCGCTACTCACTTCACACTTGATGTTCGGCAGATGCCTTATAACTGGATAACTGGCGAGTGCACGTCTTTTAAAATCACTACAAAACCTTAGTCGTCACTCGTCACAACGTACGGCCGTGACGATTAGACCCAAAACGCGATTGCGACGATTGCGTATCGCCAATATTGCACTTTATATTAAAATATATCATAATATCATAATAATAATAGTAATAATAATAGTTGAACCGCAATATTATATTCATCGACTATAATCTACCTTGGTTGAAAATTGTTCTCTGTGATATGGGAATTTTAAAACGCGGTCTGTCAATCGTTTTTTATCCATGAAAATCCGAAAATTATGGAGGTAATTGTATATAGTTGTTCTAGTTGTAATAAATATGCAAAATATATTCATTATTCAATATTCAATAGTATTAAAATAAACAAGTAACGATTGCACGTAAAGTTACATTAAATTGTAAATTGCATTTCACATATTATATACGGCCATAATATAATCACAACGCATTTAATTGTATTTGTATAGCATACTTCATAGGTTATGTATCTATTTATTTGTGAAAATAGCTCTCATAAATTTAATTGATACTGAAGAGGCGATAACCAAAAAACAGCATATTAAAACACAAAAACATATAATTAATTTTTTTATCTCCAATTAATTTTTTTTACATCTTTAGTTTATATTATCAGTCTAAAAAAATGTTACTAATTATTTATTTACTCAAATTATAAAAAGTAAATTAAAATTCAATGAAGTATATAATGGTAAATAAAAGCAAAATCACATATTTTGAAAGGGCGTGATGGTGCATAAATATCCTGGAAAAACTCAGTATGTACCTACTAAATATAACACATTTTCGTTGTTAGTACGTATAGAGATTGTCATGGTTCGAAAAGTGGATAGAAAGGTACCTAATAGCATTGATTTTAAAATATTTTTAAATATTTTAATGGTAGTTGGTACCATGGCCCATGGGCCGAAAAATACAATAATTAAGACCAAATCAACTAATAAATAAACATAAAAGTTAGATGATTAGGTATGTTCGTTATTACCACATATCAGTAAAACAAGTTTTTAATTAAAGCCTAGACAAAACTAAACATTTTTAATATTTGTTAACTTTTTGTGTATCTACCATACAAAGCTTTATTTGAATAATTATTAAAAGGATTTAAATTTAAATATTAATTAAACAAGAATTCACTTTTAGACAAGTATCGTATACTAAATGATAGAAGTAGATTAAAATAAATGGGGCGATGGCGTTAATAACCAATTAATTTCAGTTTAAGGTTAAAAATATGTTTCATTTGTTAAACGGTTGTCTTAGTAGATAATATTCTTTTGCTAGTGTAGATATATGATATGGAAATGTGATTTTTTCATAAATTTTCTTAATATATTATTATTATAAGTTATAATTATTTAAAAACTTATATATTAAAAAAGATATAGCTGTGTACTGGCATGTCGTGTGTGCATGTATGCGTTATTATTGCATGCACGTGATTGTGTGTGGTCCGCCTATATAAAATCATAATACTGTATAGTGTATTGTGTCTATGACAAGTCAAATGACAAATGAATAACAGTCCTTATGGAAAAGTACGGCGATTGTCGACTTAAATATATGCATGCAATAGCTTGATATAAATGTATATAAACATATATACTACATACATACCTAGTATATAATATATATAATATATATATTATATAACCTATATTATGTATGTATACTATGTATAGGTACTCGGGTATACGATGATACGAGAATCCATCCGTTCCTTGTACCAGTATGCGACTACCCCCGACTCATTTATATACGAGTATATATATATGTATTATTAGCTAAAAGTTATTATACTTATTTTATGTTCATGTGCGTGTGTATGCTGGTATGTTGTCGACGTTAATTGTATAACTGAGCCGGATGGGTTGGTATCGGCTGAGAGGGGAGGGGCAATGAGAAGGGGAAAAAAGTAGGTATATAGGAATTTAATTTCTATACAGAGTGGTATCCTTCTATTTTAACTATATATAACATTGTTTGTGTCGAATAATGATGATATATTAATAAAAATATATTCTTACTGGATGTGATTTTTTTTTAATACTAGACAATTTGTATGCATTACATCTTAAAAACTTCTTATGTTACATAAGTTATATGTTTTGAAAATATTCTTTTATATTGTTATATATGATTACAAAATAACATTTTTGAAAAAATTTATTGATTTTTATTATTTTTTATCATTTTTAAGTTTTTAATAAAAATATACATTTTTAATTTAGTAGGTATCCGAAGTAGAATATGTTTTTGAGTATTTCAATCTTTATCGAATTTTAAGTTAAATTAAAAGTTTAAGTTTCCACGAATATTTTTAAATCATCACAAAATAATTAACACATCATTATTTATTAAATAAGACGTTATTTTGTCTAAATTGGAACTTACATTTTTTTAAAAATAATTGTTATAATATATTATTTAGATTTTATGATTTTAATGTAAATTACTTATGACGAATCTTGTATAAAGTTTTCAAAATTTAAGTACAAAAATAAAAGTTTTTCTGAATTTTATACTATAAAATAGTTAGCATTTTTTTTTGCGATTTTGACGAAATTTATTTTACTTAAAATGCACATAAAAGTATATAAATAGTGCCTATATATTTTTAATATTTTTATATAGATATAAGAATAACATTTAAAGAATATTGACAATCTTATATTAAATTTTCAAAAATTTTAATTCAACGAATAATTTTTTATCGACATTTAAAGAAATAAAATTAAAATAATTCAAAAAAATATCTTTTACCTATAAATAATTCAAAAAGAGTTAAAACAATTTGAAAACTTGATTGTATAGTGAAAAATGATTAAATAAATATTTGCTGAAAATTTCAAATATCAATTGTTATTTTACTTTGTAATACAATAAAATATCAAAAATTGTTTCAAAATAAATAATTGTTTTACTGTGAATATCGAATGTTATTTATGTACTTAAAATGCTCATAAAAAACTAATTACACATTGCTGTAGAATTTTTTTTTCATATCTAATTTGAAAAACTAATAAAAATCTTGTATTAAATTTTTAAATTTTAGGTATAAGAATAAAAATTTTTATGAATTTTTAACCACAAAATAGTTTACTAATTTTCGTGATTTTTATTAATTTTGTCAAAATTATAACTTAAAATGCTTATAAGAATATATAGTGACTATAGATTTATGATATTTTTTAATCAAGAAATCAACAATTTAAGCGAAGCTTTATATTAAATTTTTAAGAATATCTACTCAGTAAATACTTTTTAATCGACATTAATAAAAATAAAATTTAAAGTATCTTTTGTCAATAAATATCTCATCAAAAATAGTTAAAATATTTTGATAATTTTATCGCAAATAAAAAAAAAAATTGATGAAATTTTTAAGTATCTATTCAAGGACGTACATAAAAAGTTTTGGGGTGTTTTTGAAAATCAGATATTAAAAAATAGAACTTTTTTTAATAAATTTAATATAGGAATACCTAATACCTAATAGGAAATATGCCAATAATGCACAATATGTATAATTTTATTTTTTTTATAAATTCTGTTTAAGTATTTTAATTTTATTTTTAAAATTATTTTAAAATGTTAATTTGTTAGTATTACATTTTTATTTTGCTTTAGCCGATTTTTCACAAACACAACGTAATATTATACGCCTGTCTAAAAGTATAATATAACGATTAACATTAAAATTGAATAAGTAAATAACCATACAAATAAAGAAATATTTCGGGAGGTGTTTGAACACCCAAAACACCCCCTTGTGTATGTATCTACGGTTATTTATTTTCGAGTTGCAAAAAAAAAAAAAAAACGATTTTGTCAAAATATGGATTGGGTAAAAAATCCCGTTTCCCCTTAATTTTTCGTTTGTTTTTTTCAATTATAAAATAAGTACAGGAAATTTTTAAACTTGACTTTTCTAAAGAGCAAACTAGATTCAATTAAATACCCAATACTTTTCTTATTTTTGAAAATTGAAACATTTTATCGACAACTTATTGTGTACTCATCCAGAAAAAAGATATCATGATAAAATCAATACATTCATCGCTTCGCTTAGAATATAAAACGTATGTTGTGTTCAAAAAGTAAAAAATATTTTGTAGTGTCTTAAAATTATGAAAAACATTAAAAAATATTTTTGATTTACATCAGAAAATATTTATTATATAATATTATATACAACTGTCAACTAAACAACTAAGGTGAATATTTAATAGTAAATAATCAACAATCACTATTTTAATAACTCACTATTCAGCAAATTTTGTACATAGTTTATAAATTTATTAATTTTAAGTAATAATTTTTATAATAGGTTGTATTAGTACATAATGTTGCATAAAACAGGTGTGGTGTATCTACTGGTATACACGCGACTTATTTATACGTAGATTTAATATATTACTCCATTTTTTCCTTCGTATTGTATTACGATTTAAACTGCATCAATCAGTTTGTATTACTTTACTCGCATCATAATTTTTGTTGTTGTTATATCTTATATTATTTAAAGTAAAATACTTATATGACAATATGTTAAATACTTACCTCAAATCTAAACAATAAAAAATTTAAGCTTAGATAACTACAATATTATCATATATTTCTCATCAATCTATTTATTTGAATACATTAAATATTAAAAACAATGGTTTTTTTATATTTTATACCTATATTGCGTGGACATAGTTAAGAATGTATGTATTATGTACAATGTACATGCGTATGTACCTATTACTTATTAAACTTGAAAAAATTGTGCGCCCTTTTGCGATTATTGTTGATTTGAGCTATTAGATTTCTGAGTTAATTAATGTTATTATTTAATATTTCAAAGACTTTATTTATAATGAACTCTGCTGTATTTATATTTAACGCCAGCTATATACAAAATATTTTAAAATGTTACCTTTGATATTATTATTAGGACAATATAGGTACTATCCGTACTCAGATTAACGTAAATAAAATGAGTGCACCTACATTTGGCCCCAAAAATTTAGTGACTTCATAATCCAAATATCCAAAATAACCAAATATTATACTTATATAGGTTATGGATATAATAAAATATTTAATCTTTAATTAATAT